AATAAATAAATAAATAAATAAATAAATAAATAAATAAATAAATAAATAAATAAATAAATAAATGAATAAATAAATAAATAAATAAATAAGGGAAGTTTAAACCTAGATTAGGAGTGCTGAAAGACCAACAAGGAAGCACGTTATCTGACCAGAAGAAAATAAAGAGAATATGGAAAGATAAAAGAATGGCAGATTCCTTTAGAGAGGAATCTTATGATGAAGATCTTGGAATACTAGAAAGTGAAATGAAAGCTGTTCTGAAAGCACGGGGAAGAAATAAATCATAAGCAGTAGAAGGGATACTAATAGAAGTACTTCAAGCCACAGAAACTGAATGTGTCAAAATCCTAATAAGAATATGCCACATATATGGAAAACAAAACAATGGACCACAGACTAGATACATTCAACATACATTCCAATCTCCAAAAAAGGAGTTGCCAAGGAACACAGTAACTAAAGGTCTATTGCTGTAATTTCCCATGTAAGCAAAATGATGCAATGAAAAACATCTGATGTACAAGCTGGATTCTGAAAAAGAAGACACTCAAGATCATAATGCAAATATCTGCTGGAAACTGGAGCACCCAAAAGAATTTCAGATCAGTTCAAGGAAACTGGAGCACCCAAAAGAATTTCAGAAGATCAGCCCATGTTTTATACACTACACCAAAGACTTCAGCTGTGTAGATTATGAAAAATTTGGGTTGTTCTGACAGTGCTGCCTATGCCTCAGCAGCTGGCTGTCATGCTGCATAAGTTATAGTGTGAGCAATAAGCTACTGTTAGAACAGAGTATGAAGAGACAGAATGGTTTCCCATAGGCAAAGGTGTCTGACAAGGTTGCATTCTACCCCCTTACCTGTTCAGTCTGTATGCTGATCATATTAAATGAAAAGCCAGACTAAATCCAGATTAGAGAGGAGTGGAAAACGGTGGAAGATGGATCTAAACATTAAGATATGCAGATGACACCAACTTACTAGCGGAAAGCAGTAATGACTTGAAACAATTTTTAGGAAAAGTGAAAGAAGAAAGCGTCAAAGCAGGAATGCAGCTGAACATCACAAAGAAGAAAGTGTCAAAGCAGGAATGCAGCTGAACATCACGAAGTCAAAAATCATGACTACAGAACTACACAATTTTAATGATGACAATGAAGAAATTGAAATTGTTAAAGATTTTGTGTACTTTGGTTCAATCATCACTCCAAATCAGAAATCAGAAACCAAGAAATCAGAAGTCTGAAACTTGGAATCCTAGGTTATTGGAAGCCAGCAAAGAAGGATTTTTTTTAAAAAAAACATGAATTGTATGGATATGCCACTGGAGACAAAGACCAAGATCATCCAAAGTCTTGTATTTCCGATCACCATGTATGGGTGTGAAAGCTGGACAGTAAGTTGATAAGAAAAAAAATGATTCATTTGAAATATAGTGCTGTGATACTCTGGGCTGTTGGAAAGATGAACAAGTGGGTCCTAGCGCGAATCAAGGCTCAGATATCTCTGAAAGCAAAAATGATGGAACTGAGGGTGTTCTACTTTGGACACGAGAAGAGAAGGCAAGAGTTGCTGGAAAAGACAATAAACACTGGGAATGGTGGAAGGCAGCAGGGAAAAAAGGAACATCAAATATGAGATGGATTAACTCCTAATGGGTTTACAAGAGCTGAACAGGGTAGTTGAGGACATTTTGGAGATTGCTCAATTCATGGGCTCACCATATGTCAGAGATGACTTGATGACATGTAACAACATTTTTTTCCTATGGACATCAACTTCCATTAAATATTGCAAGTAACTAAGGCTTACCCCCTTAGCTACTTTAACAATGCAACTGGGAGAAATCATGTAAAGTGCTTAGAAATGGCTTCATAATTGCTCAGTTACAAGCATATCTATGATGACAAGACATAATAATATATAGCTGACTGTGTAAAACATTGAGATATTAAGAGGGAACATCCTCTTCAACTAGCATGGTTAACCTGCTAATCATATACAATTTGGGTGACTTATTTTCTTGGAATTGATAGGCGCAGAAATGATCTACCAGTGATCTTAGCAAAGGTCAAGAGAAAATCAAAATACTTATCGAATCTTATTTCAAATAGTATAGTTAAATCACCCAGATTTTTACTACTTATTTCCCGAATTCAGAGCTCTATAGATAAGGATGAAAAAGCACTCCCTGACTTTTTCTAGCTGCTAATTAAGAAGCAAAAGTCATTGTCCCTTCTTCTTAAGAGTTTTCTTCTGTCCTCAAATGCTGCTCCTTAATTTCTTCTGTCCATTCACCAATATTGAGAATGTTTGAAATTCACAAAAGGTTGCTGTAGTATAGAAGACAATGAACAATAAATAACTTACAAGGGGTGTATCCTTCCCTCCAACAATACTGAGACCAAGACCTGATCGGCCCTTGGATATTTCTATAACTGTTTCTTGTCCAGGAACTATCGGACATGTTGCTGGATCCACCAAAGGAAGTGGGAAGCTACCTGGAAGCAAAGATAAAAAGCTACTAGTCCATGAATTGGTGAACACATAATAGTACAATACCCAGAATCTGTGCAAGAATAAACTGTGTGTCAAAACCGCTGAGCACATAAATTAATCTCATTTGAGAAACTCCCTGGTTTATGGATTGCTCCAAGCACTGCAGCTTATGACTCATCTAATTGTGAAAAGCAATTCAAGTGTAGTATATGAAAAAAAAATTAAGGCACATATTTTGAGAGAGTCTTGGAATACTGCTTTCCTAAAAGGTGGACTCACTGAGTATAAAGAAAATAACCTCAAATGAGCAGTTCATTCAACTGCTGTTTTAGATGCAGTGGTGCTGCCTTGCAATGTATTTCCCCAAATTGAATTCAAGATATTTGGGAATGGTGACAGGTTATTCTGACAGCCTATCCCACTGATCTTGTCTAGCTACATCATCGTTCTCATAAGTCATCATGAGATTCTCTTCTGGGTTGTTTGCCAATTGAGCAAAACACTGACCATAGCTTTTCGCTGCTCTCAACACATTTCTTTATTCTCCAGACTGGACTGTTCACCCAGGCAGTGAAAAAGGAGCTCATGAACCTTATCTGTGGCAATTTCTATAATCTTTAATATGTATATGGACTAGAATCTGCTGGGGATTTATGCATACACAGGTTAAACTACCATAACTCACCACTGCAAATTGCCACTGACTAATAAGGCTCCCGTTGCATTATTAGGAGCACACGTGTTGTGCAACTGGTGCACATCTTCTGGTGATACACAATTCAAACCACAGTTTTGATGCAAAAAAATTTAGAATGCAAATTAGACACCAAGTCAACCTAAGAAAATCTATTGAAAGTAACTTGGAACTTTCCCCTTTCACTCTTCTGTAAGATGTGAGAAGTCTTTCTGGAGAGGCAGGCCTCTCTCCAACCCTGCACAACATATACAGCGTAGAAGAGCACTAGGAAAACCTCCTGTGCATGAATTTCCTTAAATTACATTTATTACAGAGCTGCTTCAGGCAGAAGACTTATCACAATATTAAAAATAAAATATTTTTTAAAAACTAGTTCAGTGTTTACTCTGTATACTTTAATGGGTATACAGAGAAATAGAAAAGAAAAAATTAAACTTCTAAAATCTTACATTTCTTTAACAAAACCAATAATAATTTTTAAAAAGCAGCTCTGGTTTACAGTATGTCAAAAGTTACTATTTTTTGAAATGTCAACAATACTCAAAGAATTGCACTCAATAATCTAGACTTTAAGAGTAAATTTTTTTTAAACCATTACTGTCATCTTTAAAAGCTTTGCAGTGAACATATGATCCATGAAAATAGTAATTTTATACTTCTGGTGGTGAATTCTGTCTCTGGAGAGTAAGATGATTCAGGTGCTGAAGATATAGCATGTAAATTGATGGGAATTATTGTTGAAGACTTGGATTGCTTTAATTGATTACGAATCTGAAAGAGAAAAGGAAAAATCAAAGTAGCTGAACCATTAAGCTTCCTTCTAAAAGAGGAAACAAGCAGCTTAAACAGCAGTAGAGAGATAATCATATGGATTAGAGCAGCACTATGTAATACAGCACTCAACATCTTTAGAAGCAATTATCTGCAAGACTTCTGATCAAATGATCTTAGAAATTTGGTGTAAAATGACTAGTTGTCATGTAAGCCAAAGCATAACATTCCATCTGCCTTTCCCTGATTAACAATATGCTGCTGCTGCATCTCTTGGGGACATGCGCATGGACATTTCAAGCTAGCATGTGCATGCATTGCCCCACAAAGCATGCCAGTGGTGGTTTGTTTATCAGGAAGGAATGGACAGAAAGTTACATTTTGGCTTATGCTACAAGAAGAATTTCAGCCAATATATTAGTAGACAAAATAATAATGGTCATTTCCAAGGGATATCTCTGCTTGATGTAGAAAGCAATTTGTACCTTCTCCCCTGGCCAGTCCAAGCTCACTTACTTTGACACATCGGGGGTGGGTGGGTGGAATCTCCACTCCTGACAACAAAAACTACTACAATAAAATGTTGAACGAGTATCAATTGGCTTCCTATTTGCTGCTTGATGTAGCGCTAAATCAGCTCCTGGGGCAGCCACCCGATTCTGTCGAATGATAGGGCCTACCCTGAGCCCAAGATGGATAAAAAGGGCTTCTGTTGTGAGTATTACATACTGAGAGATGGCTGTGGCTTTATTGTTTTCTGTGCAGAATTGCTCTCAAGAGATTTCGGAAGCATAATTTTGCTATACTTTTAAATCACAATGAAAAAGTGATTTGTTTTCCTGACTTAAAATGACCAATAAATAAAATGGTTTCAGATTAATTGGGGGGGGCAGTGGCAGAGGTGTCCCAAGGACATAAATACATACATTTTCAGATGGTTGCTCTGCCATAACTTGCTCGTTCTCCACCACCTGTTGTTCAACCTTGTTACTGAGATCCTAATAAAAAATGAATGGGAAATTTTAAAAATCATCTCATAATACAGATCTTAGTTAAAATGTGCATGGTACAGTACAATCCACAGGATTTTTAAAGTTTGCTTTAAAAATTCCCCAAGCCAAATCCACAATTCAGCTTACATAGAGACTACATATTTTACTGATATATGTTATAGAAGAACTCAAGAAGTAACTCAAGAAGCTCAAAACTCTAGGTTGCACCCAGATTTCGTTTAGCCACGCTTTGGTATCACTAAAATCAAGGGGGCAATATAGTCACAAATAGCTTGAATCACAATGTATTCAAAAGAATTAAAACACACAATTCAAATATATTGTGCTTTTAATTTCTCTGACCTAAATTTAATGTGTTTAAATTATAAAAATTATATGCCTAACAGATGAGATCGGTAAACCCATATGCTCTTATCTAGGAGATTCTACTCCGCTCTTAACTAGGCAGATTCCAGAGAACAGCACTTGGAAGACTGCATATCACTTCCGCTACACTCATGCTATGTAGCGCCACAAGGCATGATTTTCTATCCAATCCTTTTAAATACCTACATGAACTTCCTAGGTGTGATTCTTACAGAATGTGAAAAAGACTGTTGTCTGCCTTTATTTGTCCACTAAATATGAATTAGGGGAGACTTGTACATGGTGTAGACTGGTGTGAGAGTGCAATGATGGGCTGCATGATGCCCAATAAGTAAAGGATGAATCCTGGTGAGATTAAAGCATTGTGGATAAGCATTTCCTGGATTGATCAATTAGGGGAACTACCAGCCCTTGAGGGAGTTGCAACCCTGCTCAAGAAACAGGTTTGGGACACTCCTGCATCAATCACTATTATCAAAAGCCTTCTAGAAGCAAAGACTATCCACTTAGATGGGCGTACAAAAAAAATCAATTCCTAAACAGGAATTGACTGTATACTGTGATCTATACACTGGTAACCTTGAGACTGGGTTGCCGCAATGAGCCCTCTGCCGAGCAGGCCTTATGGCTGGTTCAGAACTAAAATTCCACTAGTGCAGAATGTAGTGAGTTGGTTACTGCATGGGATGTCTTACCATATACTTATTATGTCTATGCTGATGTATACAGTACAGCAAAAAAGCAATATATAAAGCCTCATAAAGCACAGGACCAGATTACTAAACTAATTGCCCCTATACAAACCCTTACAATTATCCTATACTAACGTGTGATCTTCAGAGGAGATAGTGCTGCCCATGGCAAGGCTATGGATTTCCCTTTGTTCTTTGTAATGATGTCCATTCTGTGGAATGGTCTCCCCTTTGCAGTATGTCATGTCTCAATAGGGATGTGTTTTATGTATTTATTGGAAATGTGCATTGTCACATTCCCACCTGTCCCTTGGTTGTTTCATCAATCAAAGGGCACAAGCTATATGTCGTGTCGCTGCCACAAGTTAATTACATCAACATTGTTTATTATTAATCACAGAGGTCCAGGCAATGTGTCATTTTAAAAAGAATCAAATAGAAGTTGTTTATTATTACAGGTAATGAAGGTACAATCAATGTCTTTAACTCTTAACAAAACATCCTTCTTCATACCCTCTCAATTGCCAGTTCTCTCTCTCTCTACCCCAAACCCCCATTCACCAATGCTCTAATCTCCCAATCTACCTCTTTCCTCCCACTGCAGAGTTTCTTATCTCTCCAGACTCTGACTTTCCAGCAGTCTCGCTGGTCCATGCAGACAGCATATTAATATTCATGACCTGGGCAGATGCCACGTGCATTTTCACATGGGCTTCCTCGAGGAAGCATCAACACTCTGGAACTGTTTTTGTTGGGACTACAACGGGATTGTGTTTTTGTTGGGGGTATTATTACTATTACCTGTTTATGGTCTTGTAAACTACCTTAGGATTTTATTGTAACGAGAACAGAAATATTTCAAACAAAAAACGTACTCCTCATTTCAGTAGAATTTTCCCTTGTGAAAATTTAACATGTTCCATTTCATGGTCATTTACAATGAATGAAGAAACATCAGATGATTATGAATCAGCAAGAACAGAAACTGCTCCTTTAATTAGCAAAAACAAAGTGAACTGACAAAAAAACTGGGGGGGGGGACACAAAACTATGCTGAGACAGACTAACATGGGTACTTCTTTGACAAAGACAAAGTGAGTTTGTAATGCTAAAGTATGAGAAGAACCTGGTAAGAAGTAAAAACTTTTCAGTCTCTTGGAATGGGCAGATAAATCCTCAGTCAGTTGGCCCTGTAATTTTCCCTTCTGAATGTCAAAGGATACTCACTGCTTACTTTTAGGAAAGACCAGACAGCTGGCTAATATTTTTACATCTTGAGCGAGACTATTTAGGCTTAAAAGTGACACCACAAAGCCAATAATTGATGGGCTTAAAAAAAAAAGATATTCTACATTTGCACGTTTTTGGCCTAGTAGTGTGTTTAGGTCAATTCACTGCGAAACTATGTATGTGAAGCACATCGCAAGTTGTGTTTGGTTGACTATAATTAATTTTAGGTAAATGGAATACAAGTTTATTTACAATAGCAAGGACTGGAAAAGCCATCAGCATGACACTAGCTACAGTCCAATCCGTCTTTTGGAAACATAGCTAACTACACTAAGTTATTTTTACTGGTCTTGACCGTAATAAAGTATTCATTCATTCATTCACTAAGGGAATGAAGGAAAACCATGCCTAAAATGGCAGATTATTTCATGAGAATAAAGTTTTTGGTGCACAGCTTGAGAAAAACTGAGGCTGAAAAACATATGTATAATTCTGTCCTATACAATAATAAGACTGCTGTACAATCAATGTACACTTTGCCACTGCAAAATTTCATCATCCTCAGAAATTAGCTTTTGTATAAAAACAATACCATAATGAATCTAAATTTTATAGTTCAGAAAAACTTGTTGAAATATCTCTAGTGAGAGGAGGATGCACTAAACTTCCACTATTTAAGGAATCACACTGAACTCCACTGTGATTTTCTTAACCTGTTCCTTCTCACAACTAACAAAAATGTACAAACACAACAAATTGCATGCCCTTTTTGCCTCATTTAAAAAGATCTTCAGGAGGTAAAATTTGAGCTATCAGAGTCTTTACATTCTTTTTTTGGTTTTATACAAGAAAAGCATTTATTTTTTCAGGTAGATCATATTCTTTGTTTCTCTGGAAATTCATACAAAAAGGTGAAATACAGAAAAAGTTGCTGTGTTGTGACTTACCAATGAATTGAAATATTACATGAATTCTACAAAGAAAATGTTCTTCAAACATTAATTTCTCATACAGGGCCAGCTGTGCCCTCTGCCATTATGCTATACAGTTTTATTTTAAGAGACAGGTTGAACTGATTAAAATTTAAAACCCACCGGATATCACATCCTTGGAAGCATTTTATTTTACAGTGAAATTCTGAAAAAAGTAAGTACAAAGTCCTTCTTCAAAGCCAGTAAACCAACCAGATGATGCTTGAAGGTAAAACTGATTCAAGGACATGCATCTTGCAGCTGTAATGGTGTTCATATTGGAAAAAGCCTACTGCTAAGCACAAAATTTGATTCTCCTGTATCCACGATGAAGCAATGCAAGAATGCACATCTACGAAGCACAGTGGAGCTGTCACTCAGGCCATTTGCCTGTTTAAGTCAACGCTGAAGATTTTAAATTACTTGGTCCTGGAGAAGGAGGGAAATTTCTAGATGCTCTTAGTTTAATACACCAAAACCCTAATCTTGAAGAACAACACTTGGTACGGAGACTGCCTTGGCTGCAATGACCTTTGCCGGGAGAGAGGCAGGGGGAGTGTGACCCTGTTGATACTCCTGGACCTCTCAGCGGCTTTCGACAC